TTTGTGACTCTTGGAAGATAAGTGTGTTTGTCTTCCACTTGTAAATTTTCTACTGATGAATTGATGGAAGTGTTATTGATCAAAAAAAGGGCAGCTTCTGGAGAAGTTTTCCTTCCTTTTATTGTCTCAGAGCAACAATTAGTAGATGTTCTAACCAAGGGTGTCCCCAAGGCAAAGTTACAACATTGTGTAAGCAAGTTGGGCATGATTGATATCTTTGCTCAGCTTGAGGGAGAGTGTAAAGATAATGGTTCGAATGGGCCTTAGTCTCTTTGTTTTTATTTAAGTTATGTTTATGACTTGTGTTAGTAGTTTGTGCCCTACTAAAGGCACTCGTCTTTAGCGATGGATGCCCTACTAAGGGCACTCATGTAATTGTCCTTATTTTTTACAACAAAAGAATAAAAGAGATCATTGGGGGCTCAAGAGAGGTTTTGAATTACTCTCTTCTTCCTTTTCTTCTATCTTCTTCCTCCATCACTTCTCTCTCTTCAATCTCGTTCTTTTCTCCTGTTTCTTTTCTTTTAATTCAGATTGTTGCAGGTGTGATTTACAACTTAGTGGAAGTGTTCTATTGGGTCAATTCATTTATCTTCTCTATTATCATTATTTTCTTGTTTTTTTTTTGCTTCCTAAACCTTTGAGGTCATCCATGAAAAATCCCAATGTTCATCCTTTGTATGATCTTTTGACCATAGTGTTCACATTCAACTTTTTTTTTGTGAAAAGAATGCAAAATAACAAAGAAAAACATGAACAAGAGAATAACATAGACTTACGTAATTACATGGTTTGGCATATTGAGCCTACATCCATGGAGGATATTGAGAAAATTTTCACTATTTCTCGATCAATTTTACAACCCTAGTAAGAATACTTGTATTATTTATACCATCGAATTAGGACTTTTTTCAATACCCTAATCCACTAATAATTAAAATTAAAATATTCCCAAAATACCCATCCTCCCCAATAGACCCCTGATAGGCCCTCAACTACCCATTCGGGCCCATGCCAGGAGACCCAGGCCCAAGACACTCAGTGACCAGGCCCTGCACGAGAGAAGCACCTGATCACCCATGTGCAACCTCCACTGAGGTTCGTTTACATGAGGAGGCCACATCCCTCCAGTTAGCTATCAGTCGCAGTCGAATCCATGTGCAGGAGAGATTGAGGAGAGAGTATAGATAATTGTAAACCCCATCTATTCGGCAAGTAAGAAAAACCCTACTATTCTCCTCTTCTCCTTCTTCCTTTCTTCTTCTACTCCGTTTCAGGAGGGTGAGCTCCCTTGAACCAGCTCAAAGTTTCAGAATTCAAAGTGGGTCTATCAACCCCCTTAATACTAATGTTGTTTTCTCATCCTTCTTAATACAAGGCATTCTGCCCTCAAACTTCTAACTATTTCCTTTCTGATTTTCTGCTTTTCAAACACCTTTTGATGTAACTAGGGCCGACTGAACTACTTTGGACCTACATAGCTATCTTCTAGCTCTCTTCACATTAGACTTGTGCATAAACTCGGCTTAGCAAAGATGAGCTCATCACTACTAAGAACTTGGACCCATACATCTCATTTTCCAAATTTATCCACACAAGAAACTCAAAGATGTAATTCTATTGGTTTGGATTCTTGATGTTCTTATCATCTTCCTTATATTCAGGCTTAAACATTTGATATGGTCCATATCTTCCGATATACCACATATAATAGAGTAATATCCCACCAATGACTCCCCCTGTCATAGACCATTGATCTCTTGCTTCAAGTGATATATACTGTAAATGTTATTCTAGGAGCATATACAGGCTATTCATCAGACACCTCCTTTGCTATCCTTAGGAATAAAAACATGTATTCAAGATCTTTTATAAGAAATAAAATTTTACCAAACTTCTAATTCATGAAATTATAAAATTGTACAATTATATAATGGATATCATTGTCCATATTCCATTCTTTAAGCAATTCTAGGCAACACGTGTGTAATCAGACTTTCTTTCTCATTTTATTGTGAGAATTGACAATGCATAGGTAAAATTCTTACCTGTATACTTCACATGATTGCAGGCAAAACACTGGGATTCTTTCTACAAGTTTTACAGGAATACAACTGATAACAAGTTTCGTCACTCTCTTTACAACTTATTGATATCATTTTAGTTATTTTGTTCCTTTACAATTAATACTGCTATTTCCCTTTTTTGTTTGTGTAATTTCATTCTTCAATAATTCTCATCCCTCATCTATTTTATGCTGCTAGGTGTCTTCACGTTTTAAGTACTTCAGGACTGAAGTAAATTTCTTCAGCTGCACTTTGTCCTGTGTTTTACTAAGTATAGGCTATTGTGATCTATTATTCTTTATTGTAAAACACACATATATTCTGTCTCATAGATCAGCTTAAGATTCTTTTCTTTGATATATTTCAGTAGTAAAAAATATTAAGAAACAACGAAAGAATGTGAGAGAAGGTGGATGCAAATGAGAATAGCAAGGAGGAGAAGTGAGAAGTGAGAAAAGATGGGAGAAACACAATCAGTTCATGGGATTCTAGAGAATCCCAACTTATCTTTTATATTTTAGTATAATGTAAAGGAAATTTACATCTATGCCCTTAATAGGGCGGCAGCAATAAAGAAATGAAAATAAAGACTCATTAGGCCCAATATTATACATAAAAGCCCACCAAAAATCTAGCATCCCCGACTTTCCAAGAGTAGAATGTAGCTTTAAATGAGGAACTCCTTTAGTGAATACATATGCCAACTTCTGATTTGTCTTCACATAAGGAAGGCGCACTTCTCTAGACAACACTCTTTTCCTCACAAAATGCTGATCAACCTCAATATGTTTAGTGCAGTCAAGCTGAACAGGATTATGGACAATATTTGTTATTGCCTTGTTGTCATAGTACAAAATTAGGAGTTTCTCCCATTGGATCTTTACTTGGCTTTTGCATTGGAACAAGCAACAACCAACTACTTACTCTTCTAGGAAAGTAACTTCCCTCCTACAAAGGCATGGGTACTAGAAGTAGGACTCTTGTCATCAAGGGAGCGTGTCCTGTCCAGTCTGTATTAGTGTATCTATCTATCTATCTATCTATCTATCTATCTATCTATCTATCTATCTATCTATCTATATAAAGTGTGTAAATGGACAATGTTGTGCATACAAGAATGATAAAATACAAAGTGTACAAAGGTAGTGTACAACAGAGAATTATAAGAGAGGTAAAATTACAATGGGCAAATTTCTTAAACTACCCTTATGGTTTAGCTAATTGACTAACTCTACCCTTACTGTTTACATATTGTCTTAAAGTACCCTTAAGTTTTCTGATAATTGACATCACCGTTAAGTGCTAACGGAAAAATACGAAATGCCAAATTTACCCTCTACTCTTCTTCAAATTTTCAAAATAAAACCAACTGACAAAAAATTTGAAGAACTTTAATCTTTTCCCCTTTCGTCCTCTATGTAACTCGTCTCTCTCACTCCCTCTTCTTTTTTCTTCCCCCTCACCATTGTTGCTGCCACCATTACCAGAAAAGGGGCTGAAAACCGCAACAGCAAATGTGAGACGAGTTCAGAAGTGGTAGAGTTCTATCACTCCCTGATGCGAAGAGATTCAAGGAGGGAATTTGGTGCCGGCCTCTCTGATGTTCCGGCGGAAGCGAACGCGTTGAACGTGATTGGCGAAATCAAGAACCGGTTCGCTAGATTGCTTGCTGTAAGTTCTTGTACCATTCTGTTCCGTGTTGTCAGTTTCAAAATTACAAAATTTTCACTGAGAGCATCAGCATGTAAGCCATCAGGTGAAGACTCTGCAACTGTCTGAAGTGCCTTGTGTTGACCTTTCCTAGGGGATCGAGTAGGGCATTTAATGATAATATGCCCATGTTGTTTGCAGTAGGTACAGAAGTTCTTTTTCTTTCAGTTAGAGGCTGCATGCCCAGGTGGATGTGGGCTGGAGATGCAAAAAAGACCAGTCAAGGAGAACCCAACTCATGCCAAGTGGATTCAAGAAAACTATTTGGTGATGACTTGGCTGTGTAATTCCATGTAGCCCCACATTAGCAGAAATTATTTATGGGAGAAAATAACTAAGGAAATATGGGAGAATATGAAAGAGACTTTCAGCCTCTTAATGTTGCTAGGGCTTGTGAGTTGAAGAGTGAAATAAACAATTAAACAGGGGGAGAAACCTTATCTGTCACTCTACACTGAAGTCTTTATGGCATGAAGTTGATCACTTGGAGACAATTGAGTGGGAAAGCTACAAGGATGCAACAACATATAGGAAGTTGGTGGAGACAAATAGGGTGTTTGAATTTCTTGCTTGTTTGAATTCAGATTATGATATTGTGTGTTAAATTATAGTGTTTGTGCAGGGTCTTTTTAGACTTTTCCCTCTTGTATTTATGGTTCTTGTTGTATCTTTGTGTCACATAATCAGGGGTAATTGAGTAATTTTCACCTTTTATGAATAAAAGTTATAAGGGCAGCAGTTGGGTTCTCGATACTGATAGACTTCAGCCCTATTCATTTCTAATCTTCTTCTCTTCATTTCTTCTTTCTCAACTGAATCTGTCTCCTAGATTTCTACTAGGACTTATTTAATTAATAAATCATAGATTAAGTCACATGGTATCAGAGCCAGGTGATCGACCTACTCAACTTGCTCTGTGAAGGACGTCTCAACCAGGTTCGACTAAAAGTTTCCACTCATATACGGTGAAGGGAAGAGAAAGAATCAAAAAATGACTGATCGCCCAGGGGTATAGGAGGCTTCCATGCCTCAAATTGCATTTTTTGTTGTGTTGTTGATGGTTTTCTAGACTCCCTCTATTTGGCAGTTTGAAGAGGGACTGTGTACATGGTACGTGTAGGTTGTTTTTTGGTCTGTGAATGGTGGGATAAAGCAACATGGTGATTTGTTTTTTGTTTTTCAATTGATGTGGTGAGGTTGGACAGTTTTTAGAGGTATTATAGCTAGGTTGTTGGTGTTCCCAAGAGTGTTTCAGAATTGGCTGAATGCTTTTTGGTCTTGGAAGGTGTTAGCTAGTGGGTGTGAATTGCTGAAGTAGTTTACCTGTGATCTATGGCAGCTTCTGGAAGTGAAACTAAAACAAGTGTGACTGTACAACCAGATTTCATGGCTGCCCAGATGACTTCAATCAAACTCAGTGGTACAAATTATGTACCATGGGAAAAATCAGTCGAAGTAAATTTGACAGCTAGAGGTAAACTAAAATATATTAAAGAGAATAAGCCAGATCTAGGGGCTGCGGGGTATAATGATTGGATCCAAGAGAACGCATAGATCATGACATATCTTTGGAACAGTATAAAACCTCATATTAGTATGAATTTGATGTTCTTTGACACAGAAATTTGGGAACACGCCAAACAATTGTACTCCAGACAGAATAATGTGACTAGGATTTATCAACTATACCAAGAATATTTTCAGTTACAACAAGGTGATAGGAGTGTTGAGGAGTATTATGCCAGTTTAAAGTGTTTGCGCAGTGAGTTGGATTCCTATCAGTCCCTTTCAATTGATCTCGAGGTGCAACAACAACAAAGAGATCAGTTGGATGTGGCAAGATTTCTTTCTGGTTGAGGTTTGAATTTCAGCCAGTATGTGCTCAAATTTTAAGTAGCAGTGATATACCCCCCTTATCATAAGTTTTTTCTAGAGTTAGAAGGGTTACTAGCCTACATATAGATAACTCTTCAGTACTATAGAAGTTAGCCCTAGCCGCAACCAAAGGTGGTAGAGGTGGCTCACGTGGTAGAAGTGGCTATCCTAGAGGAGGTAACTATGGAGTGAGAGGTGGTTGTGGTAATAGTAGAGATGGGAGTATTAGAGGCCATGGTGTTGGTGTTGGTGGTTGGGGAATGGTTAGAGAGTGCGGTTATTGTGGACAGGAAGGACATACGGTGAGTTTCTGTTATGATTTGTGTTTTCAGCCAATGTAATAGAAGAAGAAGAGAGGAGAAGAACAAGAGAAAGAAGTTGAAAGAGACTAAAGCCTAGGCTGGCAGCGCCAGCTGTTATATTTATACTAGGGCGACCGTACAACTTAAAAGGGAAAAAAAAGACAAAAGTGCTCTTGTGGCACACATCTAATATTACATCACTCCCCCTCAAGTTGGGGCATAGATGTCAATCATCCCCAACTTGTTACATAAATCATAATGCCACAAGGAATTGTATCCCTTAGTAAAACATCTGCAAGTTGTTCTTTCGAGCTGATGTAAGGGGTACAAACTTCTCCATTCTCCCTGATAAAATGCTTGTCAACTAAAATATGTTAGGTTCTATCATGGAGAACTAGATTTGCAGCAATGTTGATAGCTGCCTTGTTATCACAATAGAGTGACATGGCCCTATATTCTGCCTCTGCACTGGACTGGGCAACCAGACTCTATTCCTTACTCCTCCAAGTAACAAGATTTCCTCCTACAAAGGTGTAGTAATCACTGGTGGATTTCTTGTCATCTATAGAACCAGCCCAATCAGCATCAGTGTAAACCTCAACTCTCATGTAACCATGCTTCTTGAACAATAGGCATGTCCTTGGGAATTCTTTAGATATCTCAGTACCCTGTTTGCTGCTTCTTGGTGTACTGCCTTCGGAGCATGCATAAACTGACTAAGGACCCCCACAACATATGCTATGTCGGGCCTAGTTGTAGATATGTAGAGAAGTCTACCCATAAGTCTTTAGTACTATTTTGGATCCTCCAAGAGTACACCACTACAATCCCCAAGTCTGTGATTCACATCTATAGGAGTGTCAATAGGTTTGGCCCCAAGTTTTCCTATATCTTTTAGGAGATCTAGGGTGTACTTCCGTTGAGAGATGAAGATACCTTGTTGAGAGCGGACCACTTCAATTCCAAGGAAGTAATGCAATGGTTCTAGATCTTCACTTCAAACTGTGTAGCTATGAACTTCTTTAACCTCTGTATCTCTGAAACTCAGTCACCAATAATGACAATATCATCCACATAATCAATCAGGGCTGTTGTTTTCCCTTGTTCCTTCTTTACAAAGGTTGAATCATGTATACTTCCTCCTTCAAATCCCCATTCAAGAAGGCATTTT